ACGCTTTTTACACAGTTTTAAAAATATATCAAGAAACTTGGCTTTTGATGCTGATCAAGAATATAAATATTAATATTATATTTATAAATAATAAATATGTAAATAATAAATATATATAAAATAATCAAGTAATAATCACAATGCTTTTCATTATTCATTGACAATTGATCTTTATCTCTATCCTGGTTTATTTAGCATAATCCTTATATTATTTCCAAATATATATTTTTCTCTCTGTGTACTGGCACTTAGCAACTGGCGCAACTTTGTTGCGAAATGTGCAACAAAATAAGAGCACAGCAAATCCGTGGAAGAATGTTGCTGGCCGGGATTCAGTTCGCGGCTCGTGACTTTCCTTTTGCCCTGCGTTTCGTCACTGGCATTTCTCGGTTTTAATGGCGGCCAGGACACGGGCCAGGACCTGTGCGCCAGGATTCTGCTGTACCCAGTAGCCAGTGGCCGCCAGGAGGCGAAGTCGCTTAATTGGCGGGCGGCAGCCGAGAGTGAGAGAGAGAGAGGAGCGGATCTCCGCCTCCTCTGCACTGCCACAAATTGCCGGGCAAGTTGGCGGCGGCTGTGTCTCTACGTGCTGCCCCGGATCCGGCTTCGGCCTTCAGTGTCCCCTCACCCCTCCCAACTACCCCTTCTCCTGGCTGATTGCACAAGTCCAACAACAGTTGCAAATAAATTTTCGCGCCGTGTTCATCTATCCCCACGTCCGTATGCCATTTGCATTCCGCCATTGTCCTGCGCCAAAGTCGTTTGGCTGGACTGGTTGGGCTGGGGTATGGAGATGGAGATGGGGGCTAAGGATTGAGTTGGGGTTGCGGTACTGGAGGAGGCGTGGGCGAGGGCGTAAACTGGAGGAGTTGCCCTACGTGTGTGCCATATAACTTTGCCCTGGCGTCATTGTCATCGTTGCTGTCCATTGTGCACCGAATGCAGTACGTAATCACAACAGCAGTGGCCAGCAGCCGCGATGCATAGTGGCCTGAAGCTTATTTTTTTGTGTTAACAAAATAATAATACTCTCTTACAAAAAAAAACGTTTTCGGTACTCCTACAGAGTTGTGTCAAAGAGAGGGAATAATGCAAACTGCAATGCAAATATGGACTTGGTTTTTGTTAAAAAAAAGTTTTCTTTTGATCAAAATGAATTAATACCTACATTTTTCTAACCAGTTTTCATTTAATTAAAATGTATGAATACATAAATATGTTATTTTATATTTAAAACTGAGTAGGAAATGTACTAGAAAGGGACAGCAGTAAAGAAGCAGAAAAGCAAAGACACAAAACAGCAGCCGCAGAGCGACAGCTCAGAAACAAGAGATACATAAGAGAAAAGCAGCAATAAGCTTTCGTTTAAGTGTTCCGCTAATCTAGAGTCTAGACCCATCGATTATATTGAATAATAGTTTTGACTTGGACTTACCCACGTTAGAGGACACTTAGTAACCTTTCATTGCATAATCGCAGGCTTGGTTAAGAATCATCAAAGATTCACTCCTTCGAAGGCAGAGATTCATCGTTGATTCATTCCGTCGATTGCCGAGATTTTTGGTGATTTTGCACGATTATTATTATAACTTGAACATTCCCATGAAAATGCCACTTTTCCTTCTGTCATCCAGAATCCAGACAGGTGTTAGTCGAGAGGAGGCGCGCACAGACTGAGATTGATCGAAAATTTATTTCTTCGATTGCAGGGATTCGTGGTGATTTTTCACAGGTGTTACTCGAGGGGAGGCGGGCGCACTAATTGAGGGCGCTGCGGCAGAGGGGCCTCTTTTTATAGGTAGAGAGAGAGAGAAGTTGATCGACAGAGAGAGAGAAAGAGGTAAAATGCGTTGGAGGAAGAGGTAGATGAGCTAATGCACTGGTCTCTGCATGAGTAAAAATGAGTGGAACTATTGGCATTGAGTAAAAATAATGGTTTGCACTCATTATGGCCCTCTAATTACCCGAAGACCGTAACTGGCGAACCAAGGGTAAGAGAGCAAAGATCGTAGCTGATGAGCAGCTCTGAGCTGCTTCTCTGAGTGCTGCTTCTGTTTGCCTGGTGCTTGAAATCGGAAGCTAATGAATTAATACTGGCTTTATCCACAACAATTACAACAACATTTGTAAATGAGTCGTTGCTCTTGAAGTGTCATTGAGTCAAAGAGTTATGGTAATCGATGTTCTCATGCTGTCTACATTTCCAGTAACTAGCGTACCGCGAGCGGGAGAGCTAAGATGAGCAGATGAATGGAAATTATGAGTGGAAATATTTGCATTGAGTTAAAATAAATCCTCCTATAGTGCTTCTGTGCGCCTGGTGTTTGAAACCCAGAAATTGAGGAATTTGTTTAGTACAGATCTTAAGATTTAAGACTTTCTCTTTGGCCATCAAGAGGCAGCCAGAAAATCTCTAATATGCACAATGTAATAGAGACTTAAATATAATTTTTTTAATATATTTAATATAATTTATTTATCTTTATACATTTTGTATAAAAAATGGAATAAGGAAAATAAAGTTTAAATGAAAACAAAACCACGGTAGAGTGACATCAGCGACTGACAGCAACAAAACAATGTGGCAAATGTGCAACGTGGCTGGTGGCAATGGAGGAGGATCAGGAGCTGCTGCTGGTGCTGTCCTGCCAGTGGCCTCCGCTCCTTGGCCCAAGTCCGGCCATTGCAGTTATGTCACATGGCTGACTTAATTCATTCATTTAGACGACGCTGACAATTGTAGGTGTCGGGTGTGTGCGCTTGGCCCTCTGTCATTTCGTTTTTGTCAGCGACGACGACGATGAGGACGACGCAGTGCAGCAAAGGCCAGCACAGCCCTAGGGGGCGGGGGAAGGACATGCAGAACAGTGGGACTGGGGAGTTGCCTGCCAGTGGAGAGCCATTATGGCACCGACATTGTCAATGACTGGCGAATTATTATTGCCTGGCGAAGGCAGGCAGTTGGACGCCGACCCAACTTCGGTCCCAGTCCCAGGTTGCAGTTGCAGTCGGGAGTCCCATTTCCATTCTAGTCGCATTGTTCCGCCACGAGTGGTGGGCCCCATCTTCTTGTGACAGTTGGCACCAATTCCAATTCCTGCACACGTTGCCAGGTGCTCGCTCAGACTCTGGCTCTGCTCGTGGGCGTTGCGGAAAGGAGGTCGCTCAATCAGGAGCTGACCTATTGCATTTATGTAGCCACTCACAACTTGATTGCAGTTCACTTTAGTTGTTAACTAAAATAGCAAACACATTAAATAATAATTGGTAATTACCTATGAGATAAAGTGGAGTGTAATTAAGTATTAATTAAAAAATTTAAGCAATAAAATAAATAAATAATAATAATAAAATGTTTACCATTTGATTGATGGTTTTAATTATTATTTAATTTATATATAGTTTATTAATTAATTGGCATTATTTAATTCATATTTTTAACAAGTTAAAAAAGGAATATTCTTTATAATTATTTTTAAATTTATATTTATTATTTATTTAAAAATATTATTAAAATCATAAATAATTATTATTTATTTATTAATTGCATTAGATGGCATTATTTAATTAATATTATTAATAAGTTAAAAAAGGTTTACTCTTTATTTTAATTATTATTAACTTTATATCTATTTATTGTTAATTCAAAAAGATTACTAAATTTATAGATATTTATTATTTATTTACAAATATAATTAAAATCATTGATATTTATTATTTATTTTTTAATCAATTGCATTAGGTTGCATTGTTTAAATTGGCGGATTTTAATTATTTACAAATTATTAGACATTTATTAATTTCAACAAAAAAATTACCAATAAGAATATCACCGTTAAATTAAATTTTGGCAGAGTAGCGTTCTCCTATTAAAATAAATAACTTTTAATGAATTATTAGGTAGAAACCTTCAAACATTAAAATAAATCGTGAAGTTCTATTAAAGTTATAAATACTCTGCCTAGAAATTTTAGAAAATTTTGATACATTCTTAAAGTATTGATATAAATGCCTATAAATAAATAAATATTTTAACGTTGCAAATATAGCAAATAAATAATCGAAAAAAAAATACAAATTAATTAAATATTTCGAATATTTTTCTATAATTTTAATACTTTACCTAAAAAACTATATGTTCCAAGATTTAAAATTCCAATATATTCAAGTTTACGATATTTTCGATATTTTGTCGATACATCGAACTCTAAATACTTGAAAAATCCCAAAAAACATTTCCCACTAAAATACAAATAAACAAAATCATTTATATATATGTATATATTTTATATGTATCATACAAAATTTCCATTTTAAGATTTAGCAACTAAATTGGGTTTGAGTTTTGTTTTTTCTTTCTTGTTTCGATTTCGATTTCGATTTAAAGTGCACAGATAAAAAAAAACATGGATTACTAATTAATTAATTAAGAAAGAGTTGACGCAAATAAATAACAAAAAACTAATTCAATATATATATATATATGCATACATATATGTTAGATATATAGTTGGAGTTGATTCCATTGCAAAATCGCAGTACGGAGAAATTTGTTTTGTTTTTTTTTTTACCTTTTATTTTTTTTAAATTAAATTTTTAGGGTTTTTGCTTAGCTACTAAAATGTTTTTTTTGCGTATTAAAAATTGCTTGCTTGTGTGTTTGTTTGTTTGTCTGTGTGTGTGTGTGTGTGTGTGTTCGAGTGTGTGCGTGTGAGTGTGTGGGTCAGTGTTCATATCAATATGTATATAAATATATATATAAATAAATTTATAGGAATATGTGTTGATTTATTTTTATATAATTCTCGATTTTTTTCGCTTTCACACCCTTTCTCCTCCGATCCGCTTCTTTTCCTCTTTTACTTTATTAATTTCTTTTAATTCCGTTTGATTATGTTTATTATATAGGTTGTGTGTGTGTGTGTGTTCTTAATTTTGCTCTTGCTTAGTTGCTGATATATATATATATTTTTTTGTTGCTTGATAAAAAACGGAAGGACTCGCTTGCGACAAAAGTTCTGTATTTCAATATATTCTTTTTCTCCCTTTTCTTCGTATATAAAAACGTATAAAAAGCTAATTAGGTTGGTTGTGTGTTTAAAAAAATCTCCCTTTCTCTATATGTATACGATATAGACCTTTATCGTAATCTTTATTTATATATATTTAATGAATATATATAAATATAAATATGTGTTGTTGTTTTGTTTTTTAAATTTTATCTCCATCCACCCGTTGTCGTCCTTGATCGCTCTCTCTCTCTCTCTCCGTCGTTCAGGATCAAATTCTTCTTGTGCGACTTTCTCTGCAGCTTCTCATCGAGACTTTGGGCTTGGAAATGGGGGAACTTGTGATACTGATGACCGGAATATGGTGGTGGTGAGTGGTGGAGGGTGGTGGTGTAAAGTTGAACGCCCTAGAACTCCCACTGGGTGGCCGAGTCGGTGCCGTCGTCCAGCAGCTTGAAGGCTCCATTCTTAGTGGCGCCGAGATACTTGCCCTGCTGCGATCTGCAAAGACATAAAATTCAAATAATATTAGTAACAAAGTTTAGCTATTTAAGAAGGAATCTACAGAGTTTTTGGTCACAATAAGAGCTTTTGTTATTACATTTGAATTATATTTTATTAATTTAATATTCAATTAATTAAACATTTAATATTTTCTTATTTTTTCTATTGATTATATTAGAAAATCAAGAATAAGTAACTAGGTTTAAACCAAATGAATATGGAAAAAAAAATTAAAAAATATAACAATGATTGAACATTTTTCAATAACTTTCTTTTATATCGATAATAATATAGAACTTTTCATTTTGATTTACATTCCTACAGCTATTATTTTGACCAAAATTTAACACTGAAACCCTTGGCATTGCCATCTTCTTCGAACCTTATGCAGATCCTGGTTGGCTCACGCAACTCCAGGAAGAATCCATCGCTGGGCGCATCGGCATCCACCGAGATGCTCTCGCCCTCAATGCGCCAGTACTTGCCGCTGTGCGCCTTCAAATGCACAAGACCCTTCTGGGCGCGCTCCACCAATATGGTCTCATAGGTGGCCTTGTTGCACTCCAGCTTAAGGTTACCGGGCGTGCGATATCCCACGAATCCTTGCTCACACTTCAGCACAAGAATGGGTCTGTCAAGTTTAAAAGGTTAAACAAATTAAATTGATAACTGTAGAGGTTATTAAAATATATAAAATCTTACCGATTAATCAAGTAAAAATAGAACTTGGCAATTTCCTCAATGGACTCAGAGGTTGCAAACAGATGGCCGGAACGCTTGGTGGCCAAAAACTTGCCATTGTTGGCCCGGAACGAGAGCGATCCATCGCCGTGCCAGATCAATTCAAAGAGAGCATCGGCACAGCGCCGATTACCAGTGGCCTGGATGCCACCGCCGGCCGAAAGGCACCAATAACGATCCTGGGTGGTGCGCAGGGCCCAACGATGTGCCGACCAATCGTACTCCAGCTGGAATGTCTCATTCTCGCCGACCTCATCCTGGTTGGCCGTCACATCGACGCCCTGCTTAACGCTCACGTACCGCAAATTTAAGCCGGCAATAAAGGAGGCCTGCGGCAGTGAATCCTCCAGAGAGAAGAGCTCATCACGGGTCACAGTCGAGGAGCGTGACTTGAGCACCGCCTTCGATCCAATTGGCGACAAGTACTGACCCTGGCGATCGCGCAGCGCCAAATGACCGCCATGATATTCGGCGCTAAACAGGCAATCCTCGTTGCACACCACCTGCAGTTTTCCATTGGCGTTCAGATATCTGCGGCAAGAGAAAAATCAATTAATAAATAATAATTCAAGTGAGAGATTATAGGGAGCCTACTCACTTGTTGTTGCACGTGTGCAGGGCATAACGTCCGCCCTCCTCGGCACGAAATTCAAGAGTAAAAAGTGTATCCTCGCCCCATGGTATATTGGCATCCACATGGATCTCGTCCTGCGACTCGGACAGATGGGCAAACCGCTTGCGTCCAATGGAACGCAAATTAACCTGTGGCCGAGCGGCCAAATGTACGGTCCAAAACTCACTGGCGCCGGGCGTCTTGGCAGTGCAGACGAGCTTGTCGGGCGTACCGCCCAGGAAATAGCCACGCGACTCGTTCTTCAGCGCCCAACGGCCGCTGCCGTCCTCGCTGATGCTGATCTGGAAGCGGCTGCCAGCATCCCGTTCGTCGCTCTCGCAGAGCACGTTGCCAAACTGATCGACCGAAAGGTACTTGTTCAGATGAGATCGTAAGTATATAATACCTAAAAAGGAAAAAGGTAAGAAGATTGTGAAAATTATAATATTTACAGGAAGAACTATTTATATTATAATGGTATTTCTTACAATTTTTCTATTAAATTTTCTACGATGATTTCACCAAAAGGCCTACCTTAATTCCTACCATCATTTCTACCATAATTCCTACCATAATTTTACCATTGATAGATTATTTTATTTTTTAAATTTAAAAAAAGTTTCTTTGCATTTATTTCATCAGAATTTAAACAATAGTTGCAATAATAGGGTAAAAAAAAGTATTCTTTCCAAACTAAAGGTCCTTCAAATTAGATATTTTATGATAATTATTGCTTAGTCCATTTGTTATCGATATTAAGCGAACTCAATTTTATTTCATATACTTTATTATTGGTATTTCAAAATATAAACAATAGTTTTATTAAAAAGCCCTACAAAAATATTTTTTCTAAATTAGAAAGCCTACAAATTCGATAATTGATGGCTATGCTGTCCGTTATCGATATAGATCGACAATTTCCTTGATTTTATTTTAATTCCCTGGATATTTATGGCATTTAATGATTACAAGTATTTCTTTAAATCTGGTTAGGTGCATTAATCATTTGATTTTGTATTAATTATCCTCGTGTTCTTCTTTTCTTTTTTTTCTGACCAATTAGAGAGAGCCTAGAAATTTGATAATCCATGGCGTTGACATCGATCTATCGATAGGCGATTTGTCTCGCTTTCCAAACATTTTGAATCCTATCATCTATTAAGCCATTTGCGCCAATCCACCGTAACAAGTAATATAATAAGTGCGGGCTTCAGTTTCAGTTGACTGAAAACTGCAACAAAAAAAGCAAGAAATTTTCAATTTGGATGAGCTATTTTAATGGCCAACAAACGAATGCTGACTTATGGCTTTGGTATTATAGAAAATGTTTATTAATTGGCCAGTGGCAACGACCAGGAGTGGCTGAAAAAAAAATAAAAATAAAAAAAAACGTAAAATAAAAACCAGTTGCTTTAGCCAGCTTTAATTGTAATTGCCTGCCTCGCCACGGACTAACCAACATCGAGTATGCGAGCCGAGAGAGAGACTCCAACTTTAAAGCCAAAGCCAAAGTCAAGTCCAGCTCCAAATCCAATTCCAATTCCACAGCAGAAGCCGCTTTTGTTGCTTGATAAATGATGCCAAATTCGTGAGGCGCTTTGTCTTCTACTCTCCCGGCCCCGTCAAATTAGTGCAACTGGAATTATCTCTGCCCCAGACCACCAGTAATTTATGTTACGAAAAAAAAAAAATAAATAAATAAATAAAAAAAATAAAAATAAAGAAAAAGAAAAAGACGCCACTAACTGGCCAAGATGATAGTGATTACGCCTGGCAAATGGCTTCGACTCTGCGCCACTTAAGCCCCAGGAGTTGTGGCAACTAGTGTGTATACATATACACACAAAAAAAATATATACATATATATAAAACCCAACTAACAACTAAATCAAAATCTCTTGCAGTCACAGGCAGAGGATTAACGTCTGCTTATCACGATTCACAGATAACGAGCGCACGGGTGTGTCATCGATTATTCCGATTAAACCGAAGTTCGACATTGTGGGAAGCGGCCAGCAGGTGTCATTAAATAAACAAAAAATCACACAAATTAGGCTCAATGAAAAAAATCAAAGGGAACATTTGTTGGCAAAATTTAAAAGAAAATATATATTATATATAAAACCAAGTAGGCAAGTAAATTAACGGAAAAGAGATCACATAAGTTTTCAATCCTTGTCAGGCCCAGGCAGAGCTCCCATTCTCAGTCGATCTGATTTCTCGTACAGTGTCGGTGTTCAAAAAAGTAATCCCTATTTTTCAATAACAAAAACTACAAAAAAAAATGAAAATTTTTCTTCCAAAACTTTTGTTAACTTTGTTGTTTTTCGTGCACGTGGTTCCCCTAATCCTCGGGACCTACGATCCAATACTGAATGACGAATTCTTGGGAGACCTCAACTTCTACGGAGACGCAATTGGAGGTGGTGGCGATGGTGGCGATGGTGGCGGTAGCTGCAGCGGAGGCGGGGGCGGAGGCGGAGGCGGAGGCAACCCGGGAGGATCAGGATGTGAAAATGACATTGGGTCGGGCATGGATTTAGCCGGCAGTTGCTCGGGCAAAACTGAAAAATGCGGCCTAAACCTCTCCGATCCCAAGCAAAAGGCCTCGAGTATTGCCCAGAAGGCGGCACAGGACGCCAAGGCCGCCAGCGATGCCCAGATGCCGGCAGCAGAGGCTGCCGCCATGCAGGTGAAGAACGAACTGGCCGACAAGGCCACCCAATCCGCTCGAGCGGCAGAGGCGGCTCTCGCGGGCAAGCAGCAGATTGTGGAGCAGCTGCAGGTGGAGGCCAAGGAGGCCAATGCGGTGATCGTCGAGGTCAGCGCTTCCCTGGAGAACACCCAGGCCAATGCCAATGCGGCCGCAACGGCAGCCCGTGAGGCCCACACCCAGCTGGCCCACCTCAAGACTCTGGCCGATAAGGTCTCCTGCAACTTGGCCAATATCAAGAAGGTGGCCCACGGGGCCCAGGCCCAGCTGGCCCAGCGCACGCAGCTACTGGAGGTGGCCAAGATGCGTGTGGCCAATGTCACCAAGCGCGTGGCCGATGCCCAGGCCGACTTCGACAAGACCAAGGAGGCCGCCTCCAGGGCTGTCTGTGCCGCCATGGAGGCCAAGCAGAAGGTGGAGCAGCCGTCGCAGTCGCGTGGCAGAAGGATGGATCAGAAGGGCGGCGGTGGCGGTCGCTACAAGATGTCCAGATACTATTGATGAGTGTCTTTATTTTGGTGGCTCTATTTTTAAATTCTTTTCGGTGTTATTGTTTCGTTTTCGGTTGATAAATTTGAGTTATTATTGTATTTATATCAATAAGGGATGGGATGGAATCTTTATAATCCCTGAAGCTGAGCTAAATAAAGGCTAAATAATTGTATCATTGAATTTAATTAAATGATTTTTCAAGTTTCTAAATCAAAAGATTTCCACCAATTTTTTGTATACAATTTATCGATTTAAAATTAATCCACAACGATTCAAATCAAGCTCATGTTCTCTACTACATGTTAATTGTTATTTGATACTAGTAGAATTGTTATTGTTGCAGCCAAGACTAAAGAAACCAATAAAACAAGCTTCTGACAAAAATTATAATACCCTCAAAGGGGTATAAAAAGTTAAATATTTATCGATAATTTCATATGGCAATTTTATGGAAAATTAAAACTTAAGGGGGGACATCTGAGTAACTGGCAAAAAAAAGCCGATTTTCAAGAATTTTTTTTTGGCCAAATGAAAAAGCAAATCGAAAATTTTTTAGGTAGGTTTGATAATGTTATATGTGAAGTACAAAATACATTTTTTTTTTGGAATAAATCGAAAACAAAATGGCGGCTGTGCAGCATTTCTTCGTAGGCCCTATTTTTTTGAAAGGGGTCCATGGCCGGAAACCTAACGTCCTTAATTTTTGATCTAGAACAAAAAATCAAATTTTGTTAGATTCTATATCTCAACCGCTATCGACACACGTAAGATTTTTTCGATATTTTGATTTTAAGCAGAATGGTGAGTGATTAAATAAAATTTTCAATTTTCATGAGAAAAAAACGTCACAAAATTGTTGATAAAAAAAAAAGGAAACAAAAAAAAAAAAAAAAAAATCCTACGTGTGTCGATAGCCATAAGTATTTTGAATATACTGTCAAAATTTCAGATCGATCGGTTAAGATTTGTTCGAGTTAGGTTTCCGGCCAACTCAAAAAAAGTGGTTTTGAGATAAACGCGTTTAAAGTTTTAAAATCGTATATGATTACATGTGAGGCATCGCCGCAGAATGGAAAATTTCGACACTTAGAAACTTTTGCCGGACTCTATCTTTTGATATGTTATTTTTAAGACCCTAAAGTATTTTTTAAGCAAAAAAAAAATTTTTTCGATTTTTAAAAAAAGTTACTCAGATGTCCCCCCTTAAGAATTCAAATGTTAACCCCTTATTTTAAGGTCTTATTTCACCTCAATATAATCATGGAAACTATAGGTTAATGAGAATCGTTTTTAAATCGAATATTTTTTTACAAAAACAGTTGAAATTTATTGATTTAGGAACTTGATCGATTATTTAATTAAATCCCGGAAGATTTTATATTGTTAAACAATTATTTAGCCTTTCTTTAGCTCAGCTTCAGGGATTATAATGATGGATTCCATCCCATCCCTTATCGATGTCGATATAATACAATAACTCAAATTTATCAACCGAAAACGAAACAATAACACCGAAAAGAATTTAAAAATAGAGCCACCAAAATAAAGACACTCATCAATAGTATCTGGACATCTTGTAGCGACCGCCACCGCCGCCCTTCTGATCCATCCTTCTGCCACGCGACTGCGACGGCTGCTCCACCTTCTGCTTGGCCTCCATGGCGGCACAGACAGCCCTGGAGGCGGCCTCCTTGGTCTTGTCGAAGTCGGCCTGGGCATCGGCCACGCGCTTGGTGACATTGGCCACACGCATCTTGGCCACCTCCAGTAGCTGCGTGCGCTGGGCCAGCTGGGCCTGGGCCCCGTGGGCCACCTTCTTGATATTGGCCAAGTTGCAGGAGACCTTATCGGCCAGAGTCTTGAGGTGGGCCAGCTGGGTGTGGGCCTCACGGGCTGCCGTTGCGGCCGCATTGGCATTGGCCTGGGTGTTCTCCAGGGAAGCGCTGACCTCGACGATCACCGCATTGGCCTCTTTGGCCTCCACCTGCAGCTGCTCCACAATCTGCTGCTTGCCCGCGAGAGCCGCCTCTGCCGCTCGAGCGGATTGGGTGGCCTTGTCGGCCAGTTCGTTCTTCACCTGCATGGCGGCAGCCTCTGCTGCCGGCATCTGGGCATCGCTGGCGGCCTTGGCGTCCTGTGCCGCCTTCTGGGCAATACTCGAGGCCTTTTGCTTGGGATCGGAGAGGTTTAGGCCGCATTTTTCAGTTTTGCCCGAGCAACTGCCGGCTAAATCCATGCCCGACCCAATGTCATTTTCACATCCTGATCCTCCCGGGTTGCCTCCGCCTCCGCCTCCGCCCCCGCCCCCCGCCTCCGCTGCAGCTACCGCCACCATCGCCACCATCGCCACCACCTCCAATTGCGTCTCCGTAGAAGTTGAGGTCTCCCAAGAATTCGTCATTCAGTATTGGATCGTAGGTCCCGAGGATTAGGGGAACCACGTGCACGAAAAACAACAAAGTTAACAAAAGTTTTGGAAGAAAAATTTTCATTTTTTTTTTTGTAGTTTTTGTTATTGAAAAATAGGGATTACTTTTTTGAACACCGACACTGTACGAGATACCTGATCGACTGAGAATGGGAGCTCTGCTCAGGCCTGACAAGGATTGCAAACTTATGTGATATCTGATTTTGGTTTTCCGTTGATTTACTTGCCTACTTGGTGTAATTTAATATATGTAATCTATATACAATATTATACCTAAGTGTCTTGTCATTTCAATCATATACATTCTTGATAATGATGAAAATGTATTGAAAAATCCTTCCTATAAAGTCAAGACTTCTCGAATTGCGTATATGAAGACCGGCTAAAACCCTTCACAATATAATTATAATAATAATTTTATTCATTATTCATTTTATTCACTCACTTTCACCGGTGTTCGAAGGTTCCAGCGTCCACAGCTGCTTCTTCTTCAGACTGGCGCCATTGGCATTAAGCTTAAACCCAAAGGTCTCAGCGGTCATGTACTTGTGCTGACCATTAATCACACCAATGGTCCACCAACCCTTCTGTTGATTCTGTGAGATGATGTCCCCATTGCTGTGGCCCAGCTCGCAGCCCTGGCCGTTCATGGTGCTTATGGGAGCAATCTTGGGGCTGTTTTCCGGACACCGGCTTCGTTTGTTTTTAAAAAAAATCTGGAAAAAAAAAATACAATAAAATATTTAGATGAGTGATATGTGAAATAATTAAATTGCTTAGATATTGATTTAAAACTTATTTTTTATGTTTTACTTGGCTAAAAATAAATATAATCCCGGGTATTACACAGATTATGCATTTAATTATGTAAAACTATACGCTTGATTGATGATCACTTGGTCATGGCCAAGAGGAGGCGAGGCGAGGATAAAAAAGACTCAAGACTAAAGACTAAAGACTCAAGATTCAAGACTGAAGACTAAAAACTGCGTGCAAGATTTATGTGGAGACGGGACTGAAAGACGACCTGTCAGACGGGGTCTTCTCTCTCCACTGGATGCTCCTCCTCCTCCTCCTGCTCTGTCTGCTGTTTGCATGCTGAGTAGCCAAGCAGTGGGTTATACTTTATCCATACCCAGACGAGTCTTCTGCTTGGGCTCTCTCTCTCTCTCTCTCTCTGTCTGTGACACAACAGGAAATGCAGATAACATTTGCATTACATGGCGACACATGTCGCAGATCCTCCCAACTACAGGCTCTCCTCTGTCTTTGTCGTTTTTTTTTTTTTTTTGTTCAAGCTCCAATAAATTTCAACTCAACAGGCAGCAGTCAGGCTGTCAAAGCATCGATGACACTTCTATCAGGCTGCGCCATCGATAACTGCGTCGATAGATTTGTAGCAGGTGCTTTGGTTTGCATTTTTTTAGGCCACACCAATAGGCCAGGCATTTCTACTAAAGGCCTTGGTCATTAATTAGTGGCTACAAATGAGCAATTGGTTTGCCAAGTTGAAACACTTGGCTTTTGGGTTGAGAAAACAGCTGTTTTTTGAAACCTTAAAAGTTGTTTTTTAAGATATCAATGTTGCTGTTTGTTTTTTTTTTTTTTTATCGAAAATAAAACAGACTTTTAGCTTTTAGTAGCTCTACTAAACTATTAAAAAAAACATCAAGAACTTTTAAATGAAGATTTTTTAAATAAAAATTCATAAGAAAACACATTTTTATTTATAATAATATGTGTAAAAATTAGAATAATAATTTTATTATTTTCATTGTATTATTAAAATAATATTTTTATCTTTGATTTATTTATATACCCAATATTCTGTAATTATGTAAATTTATGTTTATCGATTATAAATCGATTTTGGTTTATAAAAACTGAATATTATGTTTATAATATTATTTGAGTATTTAATATATATATATAATTATATTATAAACATCTTTAATTTGTTTGTAGAGAAAATAATAACCAATAAATTCTTTTAAGAATAAAACAAAAAAATATATATAAGTATCTAAGCTAAATCGATTTAAAATCGATTGTCGATAATTAGAATATTATCAGAATATAATTGAAATCTGGGAATTATATAAAAATTCTGCAGCACAATAAAGTTTAACTTTCTTAATAATAAATAGTTAACAAGCTGAAATAACAAAAGATTTCCGCGACTAATTTTCAACTGTTAACAACCGATATACAGTCTACATTTAGTATTATTTTTGCAGCTGCAGCCAAAATAATAATAAATATAGGCACAGACAGAGATTGGTAACAAAAACCAGAACAAGAACCACACATTAGCGTGACGCGTGCCTGCTAATCAGAGCTTATGAATCGCCGGGCCTCGGATGAGTCAACAACTTCCATAAAAAGGCAGCAGCTAGTAACGCCAAACATAAATTAAGAATGTCGAGAGAGAAAACTTAAATAAATAATAAAACAAAAAAGCAACAGAGGGGAGTAAGGAGGGAGGCAGAAAGAGACACCCAAAGTGTGTGCGTGTGTGTGTGTGTGTGTATGTTGTGTGTGGAGTTTCCAGGGGAAAATTAAAGGGGTGCTGATGAGCCTGGGTTGGATTTTGCATTCTAATTTCTCAAAAAGGCAAACAGCACAAAGGGGCGATAAACGGCGAAAGAAGACAAAAGCGTGACAGCGACTCCAATGTTTCCATTTTTTTTTACACATTTTTTTTTATTATTTCTAGGCGTTGGCTCCTGGACGAACCACAAATATAAAAAAAATACAAACAATAAGGCAGAAAGAAAAAGCCAGGGCCTGGGCGTTGGCTTAAAAGCAAATCGCAGATGGCAGATTAACATCAAATGGTAATGGAAATAAAGTAGGAAAAACGAAATGAAATTTTCCACATATAAAGAAAAAATTATATAGTAGTAAGTTTAAGGTAGTAAAGCTCTATGTTTTATCTCCTTAAAAAGGCAATTTTGGTAATTAAAAACCCCCATCCATTAATGGGGAAAAGAATTCTTTTTACTTATTGAATTAATTTAAGTAATGAAAGCCAAGGACTACATAATAAAATAATATCTTTTAGATCTTTCCTTTTTTATTATTAATTTAATTCAGGTAATGAAACTCTAGAAAATATTGCATGCTTTGTTCAGGTAACCACGGAAAGATATATCCGTACAGATTTGACTTAAACTTAATGGTTTTAGGAACTTATTTCATTTATAAAAAATATATGTATCTCAGATTATTTATTATATTTATATTTATTTATTAATTAATACCTTAAATTGCATAATGAAAAGCAACCCATTCAAATTACAAATAATTTAAAATTTTTTCTCTGTGCCTCTTGGCCAAATGCGGGATTATCTTATGGTTTTTTCAGAGTCAACGCTCGCTATATATGCCGCCTCGTCAGCTTAAAGCCAAAGCACTTGCTCTTCGCTCTTCGCTCTCCTCTCCACCTTTTCGTCATTTGTTTTCAAGCTAAAATGCAATTCGATAGGCGAAAATGTTTGAACAAGTTCGCTGGAAAAATTAATTGTGGCCGTTTAAGCAACCGATTTGCACACTCTTAAACCAAACGCAAATCATAATTAATTATGCAAACGGGTTTTGGGGTTTGGTTTTTCCTGCCAGCTGTGTGTGTTTTGGACGTTTTTCTTTTTTTTTCTGAAAAGACCCCCAGGGGTCAGAGAGTTGGAAAAGATTCGTCCTCAAACAATTAGACAGAGAGCAAAATGTTGACCAGGGGCAAACACACAGCACAGTTAGGCACCGTTGTTGCAGTTGCAGCAACCTCATCATCCTCATCATCATTAGGCTATATATCTATAGCAAAAGCCATATAGCTTTCCTATTATCATCATTATCATGCTGCAAAAGCAGCGCCAATTACTGCAAATGGAGTGCCGGGCATCGCCAAGCGGAACAAATGCAGTCCAACATCTAACCGAACATCCACATCCACCAAGACACATCCATGTTCGTGTACATCCCGAGTTGCGATGCCAACAGAAGGCCCAGAAGCTGTAGCTGTTGCCAAGTGCCACCGATTCGGCCTTTGTCTGCCGTTCTGGCGTTCTGCTTTTTGCTACCCTGCCCAGCCTTTCGGTGGAGAGTATTTTAAGCGTCAAGGTCAGACTTGAAACAACAATTGTTTGAGCTTTAAAGAAATCTAGTCTAACTAAATAATAATAAAGAATTAGTTATAAATAATAAATAATTAATTAATAAATAAATAATGAATTTAAAACAAAATATCACTCCCTTGACACTATAATTCTCAACTAGTTCTAGCATCTTCCGAGTGGTAACCCAGTTGAATGTTTAGGTCGACCCTATGAACCATTTATATTCTTGATCAGCATCAATAGCCATATCGTTTTAGCCATGTTCTTTTTTATTTGTTCTTTAATTTTCAGCACGATGTAAGGCCGTAGTATATAATTTTACCAAGTTTCAGCTCATTTCCACTATACAGCATTACAATAATAGACAAAAGAGGTTTTTTCTAGGGTATTTCGAACCTCGATCTTGAGACCTGTCTTGTCTTTCTTGTCTGCTCATTATTATTCTGCTGCTGCTGCTGTTGCTTCTTCTTTTTGCTCTGCTCGCAAATCAATTAAATTACACTATCAATATCGGCGATTGAATGTCGCCTGCATATACATATATATGTGAATACATATTTATATATATATATAGATGCTAGTATATGTTGTATCTTGGCCTTTATCTGTGCTTTGATGTGTGTGTCTGTGTGTGTAGCATTATTAAAACGCAATCTAATTAAATGAAATTGCACACGCACACACCACCCTGAGTGTGTGTTTGTGTGCGAGTATGTGCTTTTAGCAAATTACGAAAATGTAAAATATGATGGAAGCTTTATCGCATCCAGCGCGCACCTTTCACCAATTGACGTGTCTCTACGCCTTCTCTTCACTCTCCTAGTCTCCCTCCTACTCCCCTCTGTTGTTTTTTTTTTCCTCTTGCTCTCTCCTTTCTCCGCTACCTCTGCCTCTACCTCCTCCACCTCTCCTTTTTGACGCCCAACCTGCTTTTATTTTGCGTGTGTTTCGCTCTCATGCGTGGCTTGTGTTGGCTTGTTAATGATAACGGTAAAGCTAGCCAGCAGCAGCAATAGCTGCTAGCTGCTGACTGACTGATAAACGCAGTCGCATCCAAACAATGCGAACACAGATCGCGCATCCAAGAAGCCCCCCGCCCCAGCCCCAGTCCTCAACTCTAACTACAGCTGCAAGTTTCCAGTGCAGCTGTTTACAATTCTTTACATTTTCAGCTCTTCGTTTGCTCTTCTTATAATTTTCCTGTAATTATTTTTGTTAAAAAAAAGTACTATAGTTTTTAATTAAAAATTTAAAATGATTTACACATCTAAGGAAAATAAGTACTGCTGAAGACCCTGTCAAGGTCAGGAACAGATGTCTATTTAAGCCTTAGACTTTGGTTCTGTCTTTAAAATGTTTGCTTCTCCATCGGAAGATTTTATAACCCACTCAAATTCCAATACCTTACGTTGTTTCATAATAGACAATTAACTTTATTTTTAAATTACAAAGTCCCTCACAAAATGTGCATTGCATAAAGTTTATTTAATCTCTATTTCAACGAACAAAAAATACCCCAACAAGGCAAAGAGTTATAAGCTGAATTTATATTGTACTTGAAGCTGTCACAATTAGTGTGTTTGTTGCATAAATGAAAGAAG